GCTGATAGAAGTTGCTCCTTCGTTCATTCAGTAACTATTTGCTAAGCGCCTACTACATGCCCGGTGCTACACTTGGCTCTCTGAATAAGACAGACATGCTGTCGTAGCTAGGACCATTTAGGGAGTTCCCGCTGGTGGCCTTGCTTTGCCTGACCGACACAGGGGACTCCCCCATCTGCTGAGAGGGAGGGAGTTGTTTCAAGGTAATAGGTTTGAGGAGAAAGGTAAACATTTCAAATAACCTTTGAGGAAAATGGGAAAGAAAGCCGAATGGAGGGAACGGAATGGAAGAGCAGCCCTACACGTCCTGCTGTGGATGCAAATTCATGGCTGTGTGGTGTTTCCTATGAATGCTCAGTAGCCTGGATACTCTTGGAGCAGAAAAGGTAAGGATTTGCAACCAGCTGGGAGATGATGGAGCCAGGGATGGTGTGGGTAATATGAAGGAATGGGGTCTAGACTAGGTCTCGATAAGGAGAAAAGGAAAGTCATCCGGGCAGGTGCTGGGTCTTGAGAGCTAAGTTTAGGAGGACAGTGAGTGAACTAGAAAGGCAGGTACACTGATCCAGAATGCCAGCCTGCAATTGAAGGTCTCACAGGTAGAGCCTTTCTTGGTACAGAAACACTCCAGGGCCTGGGCATGGGCGGCGCTGGTAGATTTTTATTCGGGCCTTCCTCTGCACTAGTCCATGCAGTTCAGGGTGATGTTCACAGGCAACTCACTATTGATCTCACAATCCCATGCTGAGTTTGCTGGGGATAACGAAGTAACTACCAATATTTTTTTGTCTCCCTTCACACCAGGTCCTAGTGATTTCATAGCTGCTTTGGAAAAGACTGAGGATAAATATGGCATTTCTTCTTGAAGTCCTCCAATGCTGCTTTGGATGTGTGCATACATTCCTTTTAAATCGAATCACACTGGGATTAATTTTTTTCCTGCTTCCCACTCAATAGCAGGAAACTCCTTTTGACATCAGCGTTCTATACATGTTCACCAGCTTCAACACTATCCTCTCTCTGAGGAGGGTAAAATGGTGCTCATCTTCAAATCATGTAAAGTAAGATGGAAACAATAAAATGTGTAGATGGAAACATAAGAAAACAGAACAGGAAAATATTTAAAATGGTTTCAAGAAAACCGGTCTTTTTTAAAATTCAGTTTTATGGAGATTCAATTTATATATGATGAAATTCACCAACTTTAAGTATAGAACTTAATGAATTTTGACAAATGTATACAATTGTATAATCACTACCCCATTTATCATTTCCATCACCCCAAAAAGTTTCCTCACATTTGCCCCTTTACAGTCAATCTGCCTCCCTTAACAATCACGGATCTGCTTTCACTATAGTTTTGCCTTTCTAGAATTTCACATAAATGAAATCATACAGCATGTAGCCTTTCATGCTTAGTTTTCTTCAAGAAAACCAGTCTTATAACGAGGATATGAAAATCCTTGGTTATAAGTTAGGAAAGGCAAGGAAAATAGTAAGTTTCACCAGTCTGTGTCCACCTAATTTGGCTTCATCCTCAGTATTAATTCCCAAGAAAAATCGAGTCTTACATGCTAGTTATATTTTTCTCAATTCCATTAGAAATAAATACATCATTAGTGAAATGAGAAATGTTTATCTGAGTACCACTGACACACATCTCATGTACCATGAGTGATCAGCAAACCACACTCCAGAAAACACTTCAATAAAAAATCTTGACAGTTTTTATAGTTCTAGCAGTCTCATTCTCTCAGTCATTGATTTTGGCTATCGAGTCTTAAGGTGACCGTCAGAAAAATGCATAAGTAATATGACACCCAAATCCTCACACCTAGCATCTAAACTTGTGCACATCTGTCCTACTTTTAAAAATGAACTCAAACCTTTTGTTCTTTTTGCTCTCTACCATGACTTCCCACTTTATATGGTTGAAATTAGAAAAATTTATGTTTGGATACAAAGGGAAACAAACAACTAATAAAGAGGCGGAAACTGATGCAGCATACATTGACTAGGGAGACTTCCTGCAGGATATGAGATTTGAAGAGTGTTTAACATCAGATGGATGATGAACCCGGCACTGTCCAGGTATATAGTGGGTGTAGCAGTCAGACCACAAGGACAGTTGCTGGGCAATGACGGTGAACAATCCAAGTCCATGTGCTAATCCTTCCTGTTTGTGGGTTACACTTAACGCTATCACTTCTGCACTTTCAGAAGGCTCAGGAGTTTTCTGTGTGTTTCTGTGCGACTGCAGAGGACCCAGCAGACTGAGTCATTAAAGAGTGCGTCAAGGGTGGGCAGCGCTGACAATCAGATCCATGAAGACCCACATCTTTCCGCATATGAGTCCTTTTCCTTGGGAAATTACAACTCTAAGAGGTTCCCCAAAGCGCCATGGAAGTTTGAATTTAAAAAGGCATAAGTTTAACTAAAAAGTTCTTTTATATTTGTCTTTCTGACAGTTGTTGCTGGTTGGTAAAACTAAAAGGAGTTATAAAGGGCAATGGACAGGACCATTGTCAGGAGTTGCAGATGGGTGAATCCCATGCCTATTTCTCTAGGGGTTTTTTCCTGTTTTTATTTTTTAATTTTTTTTTTCCTGTGTTTCTTACTGAAGTGAAGCCAGCTCAGATTGGAATATCTGAGGCCACTCTGAAATACAAACGTGTACCAAAGTCTGTCTGGAAGAGTGTGTGGAAAACAGGAGTGGTGCAGTAACACCCACTTTGCCTGATCAACTATATGAGTGGCAAGCTTTCATAGCACTCTGCAGGATATAAATCAAGAGCTGGATGCCCTGTTTGACTGGCCATTTGGTAGGAATGGTAGTTTAACCCAGGGCTTTGAATAAAGTGAGGGATCCAATTGAGTCTTTGTATTGACATTGTCATGTGTGGGTACCCATGAGAAACAGTTTCTCAGAATCTTTACATGCTACTAAACATACTAAATGCTAGCTGTTAAGCTGTCTTTCAAGGGAGGACATCTTAAAAATGAAATTTAATTTTGTATAGTACTGAAGCCCAATTAATTGAAAAGTGGCCCGGTGTTTAGCATGTAGGTCGTTACATACAGCGTGTGCCTGATTCTTAGGCAAATGGTGATTTTCTAACGTATCTCTTCTGGAGACAGCTATGAGGGTTTAAGTCACTAATATGTGTGCAGGCCTTGTGACTTTCCTACATTTAACAAACAATGTCAATGCAATACTAACATTTTTGCTTGTATTGATATTAAACTTTTTCACCTCAAAGACAGCAAAATCAAATTTTATTTTGCTTTAAAGAAAATGCTACCATAAACAAAGCCCATTTCATAATCAGAACCCAATTTTTTTTTTCCTGGATAAGGTAGCATAGAACAATGGTCAGTTATACATACACGGATTCCAGGAAGCCAAGCCAAAAGAATTTGTCATTTAAGTAAGGTAGGTTATGGAAATTTTAAATCAAGAAAAAAGCACCAAGAGAGGCATAAAGGATCATCTTCCTTCTTTGAATCACACTGCACGACTTGATAAAATTTGCCAAAATAAAAAAAATTTTAAATGATTTACCTACTTGTTTTAAAAAAATAATTTTCCCCAGTAAACACAGGGTCACCCCCAAAAAAAGCCTCTTTGTTTTAAACTTTTTTGCTGAAAATTATTCTTATTCTATTATTCTAAATGTATTATTATTTACTACCTCGGTGAGTGTACTATTACTACCTTAGTATCTCACCACTTCCGTGATCTTTGCCTGTACGGACTTTATAGATGGAGGCGACTCTCCAGAATCTGTACTTATTCCTAGACCACAGTCTGGACCTAAGTTGCTTTTAATTGTAGAGGTCTCCGTTTTGTTGTGATGAATCTCTCAATTCACAGCGTCCCCCTTCTCATCCTACCCCACCCCCCAGATAAAATGAGATTTTCACTAACTTTAAAAATAGTCTATAAAGTTCCTGTGCCAGTTGTCGTTGAACCGCTTTCTTTCCGGCTACTTGTATCTTGTAAAACCTAAATCTTGGAATTAAAAAAAAAAAAAGCAGCAGCTACGCTGACCATGTGGACAAAGGAAATCTTAGTTTTACGCAAAAATGCGATCACGTATGAGAATTGCGTAAGTGGATGGTCGGCACTTAGGTGAAGTCATTCGACGTCGTTTCCATTACTTGTTTTCTGGAGGTTACCAAACCATTTCCCAAGATGTAACGATCAGAACAATGATGAAATCAGTTTTGCACTGTGTCAAAACTTGGCCCGTTGCCATTTACTTCTCGGCACTACTAGATTCAATTAGGCCTCGTACTTTCATTATCTGTGAGGGCTGAATTCAACCCCTGCCTTCACGTGCAATTTTCTCCAGGAAAAGTCAAAACATCATTCTAAGGATCGAAGAGCTCAGCCACACAGCGGAGAAAAGCGGTCGATGCAGCAGAGCAAAGGGGACCCTCAGACCTTCTTCCTCACCGCAGCTCTTCGGATTTTAAAGAGAGCCTTAGGAGGACCAGGAGGGACAAGAGGGATGCAGGCAAAAGGTTCGATCCTCAATCCCAGCCGGAGACAAAGGTAACTGCGCGAGGGGGATGGGGAGACCGGCAGAGGAAGGCTCCTCGGCCCCCAGCTGGGTGGCATGACTTGAGGGGACTCAGAAAACGAGCCAGGACAGGGAAGGACAGGAAGGTATCAGCCGGGCGGGCGAACCGGCTAATCGCAGGAGGGCCGAGGCTGGGAATTCCCCCCCCCGCCCACCTCCGCTCCGCAGTGCCGGGAAATGAAATCGAGGCAGGGACGCAGGTCCCTGGCCGAGACTGCCCGGAAGCCTCGGGTTTCCCGGAGCGGGCGTTCGGGAGAAAGAGCGCGTGCCTCACGTCCTCTCCGCCCAGCCCCGCCCCCCGCGCGCTGCGCACGCGCGTCCGCGCCCCGCCCCTCGCGTCCCCTCCGGGGTGATGGGGCGGGGGCGGGGAGCCGAGGTGAGGAGTCGGTCGGAGTCCCTCGGCTGAGAGCTCGAGAGCTACCGGCGCCACCACCCCCCGCCGCGTCACGGCTCCCGGGCCCGCCCTCCAGTGGCCCCTCCTCCCCACTCCGCTTCCCCCTCCTCTCCCCCGCCCCTCCGAGCGAGCGGTGACTTAAGCAACGGAGCGCGGTGAAGCCCATTTTTCTCCTTCCTCGCCGCCGCGCCGGGCAGCTCGCGGCGCGTGGCCCGCACACTCCCGCCCGAGATGAATGCTGCGGCAGACGCCGAGTTCAACATCCTCCTAGCCACCGACTCCTACAAGGTAGAGGTTCGGGGCGGGGGCAGGTGAAGAAGGAGGAGAGGGCGCGTCCGGGATGAGCGCGGAGCTGTGGGGCGGGGGGCGCCGCTCTGGGGTCGTGGCGCTGCACGATCCCGAGGGAAGGAGCAGGCGGGCGGCGGCGGCGGCGGGCTGAGGCAGGTGAAGCCGGCGCCGCAGTGGGGAGGAGGTGGATGGAGGAGGGATGGAGGGATGGACGGCAGGAGGCGGGGCTTTGGGGTGCGTGGTTGGGGGGGCGGCGAGGGGCTGAGGCGGGCCTGAGCCAGCGCCGCCCGCCCGCCCGGTCGTCCGCCGCGGGGCGCGGGGCTCCGGGCTCGTGAGGCCGTGGCGGGGTCGGGGCCAGGGAGGCTTGGGCGTCCCCGGCCGAGCACACGCCTTCCCCAGGAGCGCGGCCTTTTGGCCTTGGGCCGGGTCGGGCTGGGCCGGCCTGGGCGAAAGGTCGCCGGAGGAGTGGGTCAGTTAGGTAACGGCCCCTGGGGCTCGGCTGTGGAGAAAGGGAATGGGGTTTGAGAAGTGGGTTTTCCCCCGCCAAGCTGAATCGAGTGCGCGCCCCCCTTGCTGGGCAGGTACGTCCCTTCCCGAGGAAGAGGTGGGCGAGGACGTAGTAGGGGTGCCGCAGCAGCCAGCCGCGTTCTTCTGCCTGTGGCCGGGGTGTGGAGGACACTTTACCCGCCCTCGGTAGACGTGCTGGATTCCCTCGACCCACTCCACTGGGCTGCGTTTCAAACTCCTTGGCTCCTGGTGATCACTCATACTCCTCATCCCTTGTTGTAAAGGCCGATAGGCTGCCCTTATTCCATTAGAGCCACTACAGGATTTCTGTGAAAAGGAAAGTGAAAACACGAGTTTTAACCCTGGAGAACTCTCAGAGAGAGAAATGACACATTTGTGTTAATATGCCTATTGGACCCTTGAATGTATTGCTGCCCCATCAGTTTTGTTTGAAACTCATACAAATAAGTAAAGGAAGGAATGATTGGAGGAAAATCTGGCAAATGTTCTTGCCGCAGGCTCCAAATTACATGAAGTAAACTGAACTATACTTTGCTAAGCTTTGTTGGCCAACGCACTTGAAAGATGAAATGTCAGCCCAGACACCCCACTTGAACAAAATAAATGTTAGTATTTAGTTGACAACACGGTGGTTTGAAATATGAAGGAAAGCATAATGCTCTCATATTGTTGGTTTTTGTTGTGATTTTTTGCTTTTTGTTTCTTTCCTTAAATATTTGGAGAAAGTATTTTGGAGAATCCCGTTTTACTTACATTCTGTTTTGTTCATTTCTTCCCAGTCACCCTAACATTCTACTTAAGATAATTTAGGCCGCTACTTAAAGTAGAGCCAAGTGTTCGATGGTGTCACTGGGCTCCACCTCCAGGGTGATGGTCTTGCCGGTCAGGGTCTTCACGAAGATCTGCATGCCACCCCTGAGACGGAGAACCAGGTGGAGAGTTGACTCTTTGTGGATGTTGTGATCAGAAAGAGTGCGGCCATCTTCCAGCTGCTTGCCAGCAAAGATAAGCCTCTGCTGGTCAGGGGGGATGCCCTGTTTATCTTGGATCTTCGCCTTCACGTTTTAAAGATCCAAGATAAAGATCACAACATCCACAAAGAGTCAACTCTCCACCTGGTTCTCTCAGGGGTGGCTGTTAATTCTTCAGTCTTGAATTCATAGTGCCCAATGATGGCATTGCTCTGCACTATAGCCATTTGCCCCAATTTAAGTTTAGAAATCACCAGTTTCAGTAATAGCTGAATCACTGGTTTTCTCAATAGCTGTTCAAAATGTTAATAAAAGTTTTGTTGCATGGTAAAAAAAAAAAAGTAGAGCCAAGTTTCATTAACAAGTGGTCTCTTAAATGGAATTTTACAGTGGAAATCTACACCATTGCAAAGAGATCAAAGTATTATCAAGTATGGTTTACTTCGCCTTAAAACTTTCTCTTGTCTTACTTCTAGTGTTTGGAGTATCTACGGTAGTGATTTTACAATGGTCTCATTCATAGTTCTTTCTTAACTAAATTTCTTTTCTAATTTTTTTTCCTAACTAAATCTTTAAAATGATTTCCAAAAGTTTTCCTAATGTGGCAATTAATAATTTGGTTGGAAATGGGATATGTAAACAGGTTGATGGATCTAACTTATAAAAACAAAAGGAGTACAAATTCCTTTAGTTTGTAGTTCCTCTGGCACTTATACATAAGGAATGTAAAATTGCCTTAACATCAGTTTTCTGGGCTGCTCTTAATTAGAAGAGTGAATTACCTTAAAGTTTTCTAATCTCATAGCATGACATACTTAATGCACTGTTAAAGTTTGCATCTATTTAATAAAGTTTATTCCTGCCCATTTTCAAATCAGACCAATATATTTTATTTTTCTCATATGAAACCTTTTTATTTTCTTACAAGATTTTAAGTTTTTGTTTTAATTCTCATTAGGTAACATACAGTGTAGTATTTGTTCCAGGTGTACGATAATAGTGATTCAACACTTCCATATCATCACCCAGTGCTCATCAGGACAAGTGCACTCCATAAGCCCCATCCTCTGTTTAAACCATCCCCTCACGCACCTCCCCTCTGGTAACTATCTTTATTCTCCATAATTAAAAGTCTGTTTCTTGGTTTGTCTCTCTCATTTTTTCCCTTTGCTTGTTTGTTTTGTTTCTTAAATTCCACCTATAAGTGAAATCATACAGTATTTGTCTTTCTCTAACTGATGTATTTCGCTTAGCATGATACTCTCTAGCTCCATCCATGTCCTTGCAAATGGCAAGATTTCATTCTTTTTTATGCTTCAGATAGATATATATATAGATATATATATATATATCACCCCTCTTTATTCATTGATCATGGACACTTGGGCTGCTTCCATTTCTTGGCTATTATAAATAATGCTGCTATAAACATAGGGGTGCATGTATCCCTTTGAATTAGAGTTCTTGTATTTTGAGGGTAAGTATCCAGTAGTAAAAATTACTGGATTGTAGGATAGTTGTATATTTAACTTTTTGAGGAATCTCCATATTGTTTTCCAGATTGGCTGCACCAGTTTGCATTCCCACCAACAGTGCAAGAGGGTTCCTTTTTCTCCACATCCTCGCCAACACCTGTTGTTTCTTGTGTTGTTGATTTTAGCCATTTTGAGAGGTGTGAGGTGATCTCATTATAGTTTTGATTTGCATTGCCCTGAGGGTAAGTGATGTTGAGGATCTTTTCATGTGTCTTTTGGCCATCTGTATGTCTTCATTGAGAACTGCCTGTTCATGTCTTCTACCCATTTTTCAAATTGGATGATTTGTTTTGTGGGTGTTGAGTTGTATAACTTCTTTATATAATTTGGATACTAACCCTTTATAGGACGTGTCATTTGCAAATGACATTCTCCCATTCAGTAGACTGCCTTCTAGTTTTGTTGATTGTTTGCTGTGCAGAAGCTTTTTATCTAGATGTAGTCCCAATAGTTTATTTTTGCTTTTGTTTCCATTGCCTCAGGAAACATACCTAGAAAAAAAGTTGTATCTGCTGATGTCAAGAAGTTACTGCCCATGTTCTTTTCTAGGATTTTTATGGTTTTAGGTCTCACGTTTAGGTCTTTAATCCATTTTGATTTTATTTTTCCGTATGGTATAAGAAAGTGGTCCAGTTTCATTCTTCGCATGTAGCTGTCCAGTTTTCCCAACATCATTTGTTGAAGAGACTTTTTCCCATTGGATATTTTTTCCTGCTTTGTTGAAGATTAATTGACCATGTAGTTATGGGTTTATTTCTGGGCTTTCTATTCTGTTCCATTGATCTGTGTACCTGGTTTTGTGCTAGTACAATACTGTTTTGATTACTACAGTTTTGTAATACATCTTGAACTCCAGAATTGTGGTATCCCCAGCTTTGCTTTTCTGTTTTGAGATTGCTTTGGCTACTCAGGGTCTTTTATGGTTCCATACAAATTTTGAGATTGATTGTTCTGCTTCTGTGAAAAATGCTGTTGGAATTTTGGTGGAGATTGCATTAAATGTGTGAATTGCATTGGGTAGTATAGACATTTTAACAATATTTGTTCTAATCTATGAGCATGGAATGTCTTTCCCTTTCTTTGTGTCATCTTCAGTTTCTTTCATCAGTGTTTCATAGTTTTCAGAGTATAGGTCTTTTCACCTCTTTGGTTAGATTTATTCCTAGGTTCTTACTATTTTTGCTGCAAATGTAAATGGGATTGTTTTCTCAATTTATCCTCCTGCTGCTTCAGTATTGCTGTATAGAAATGCAAGATTTCCGTACATTGATTTTGTATCCTGCAACTTCACTGAATTCATTTATCAGTTATAGTAGTTTTTTGGTGGAGTCTTTTGGGTTTTCTATATATGGTGTTATTTATCTGCAAATAGTGTTTGACTTCTTTACCAATTTGGATGCCTTTTACTCCTTTTTCTTTTCTGACTGCTGTGGTGTGGATTTCCAGTAATATGCTGAGTAAAAGTAGTGAGAGTGGATATCCTTGTCTTGTTCTAGACCTTAGGGGAAAAGCTCTCAGTTTTTCCCCACTGAGGATGATGTTCGCTGTGGGTTTTTCAGATATGGCCTTTATTATGTTGAGGTATGTTCCCTCTAAACCCACTTTGTTGAGGGGTTTTTTATCATGAGTTGTACTTTGTCAAAATGCTTTTTCTGCATCTATTGAAATGATCATATGGTTATCCTTTCTTTTATTGATAAGATGTATCATGCTGATTGATTTGCAAATATTCAGCCACCCTTGCAACCCAGGAATAAATACCCACTTGATCGTGGTGAATAATTTTTTTAATGTATTGTTGGATTCGGTTTGCTAGTATTTTGTTGAGGATTTTTGTATCTATGTTCAACAGAGGTACTGGCCTGTAGTTCTTTTTTTTAGTTGTGCGTTTATCTGGTTTGGTATCAAGGTGATGCTGGCCTCATAGAATGAATTTGGAAGTTTTCCTTCCTTTTCTGTTTTTTTT